CCCTCCCAACGGGCTCAGATGCTCCCTGCATAGCCAGACTCGTTTATAAAAACTCAGATGCTACTGCGAAAACAGACATCCCACACTGAGCTCAGATTCTCCATGTGGAGCCAGACGTCCCACACTGGGCTCAGATTCTCGATGCGGAGCCAGACGGACTCAGATGCTCCATGCGGAGCCAGGCGCCCTTCACCGAGCTCAGATGCTCCTTGCAGATCCAGACGCCCTCCACAGGCTCAGATTCCCAATAGACGAGCAGCAGTTGTTTTGTTAGAAACCTCAATGATGATTTCATCTGCAAGACAGAGCAAAATAATTGAGTGTGCCTTCTCCTCCAGACTTACCATCGCAGCAGCGTCGCCCTTGTTGTCTTTCAAAAACGCCGCCCACAAGTCTTGTTGCTTTAGCAACGCTTGCACTTTGATCTGCCAAAGACTGAAACTGTTCCTCCCCGTGAACTTGTTGATACTCACGTTTAACCCAGACATCTTCTTGCCAGACGCGGACACTCCGAGAACCTGGTTCTGATACCAGTTTGTTGTAATGGATGCAAGAAGAAAACAGTAAACGTAAGATCACACACAGATTTAACGTAGTTCACCAACGATGGGTTGGCTACATCCACGGACAAAGGAGACTGATTTTATCACGGAGACCGAAAGTTTCAGAATATATCAGAGATTAGGGTAACATGGATACTTATAGTAGGAACCCTAGTTAACCCTAACTTCAATTGGACTCGCTCACTTAGGCCCATGTAGGAACTTTCATGCACAAACAGTGGCCGAAGTGCACGCAGACTTTTACATTGCTCACGCAGGCTGTAGTTTTCGACATCAGCTTACACATCATGTAGATCTCAACTTCAGCTTCAGTGTGCAGTGTGTAAACATACACACACAACCTCAAGACGCAACATGTAAACGTAACATGCTGCAAGTAACATGCATACTTGATCACGCAGGCTGTATGCTGGATCCTGCAGCCTGTATGATTGATCGTGCAGCTTGCACGCATCAATACCACGAAGCTTCTACACTTCAGGATTCAAGGCATACCAACAAATCTCCACCTTAACTTCAATCCTCCAGAAAACTTCTATGCATCAAGATTCAAGGCATATCAACAGATTTCTTACATCTCATACTCATCAAAGATTGTTCACACGTCCCAAGTACTTATGGGTGATTTATGCCTTGTCTTCTTCTTTGTTTCTTCCATTGTCATCTTTAGATACAGACACTTGAGAGAACGAGAACACTTTGGAGTTACTCTGGAACATGTTCTTATACAATCTGGTGTGGAACTTGGACGGAGAGATCTTTAAGGCTCACCATTTATCAGCTCAAGTCTTGCGTACGTGGTCTTATACCTCTGTCCGCATCTGGTCCTGAGGTATAATGACATGCATATATGAATGTGACCCCAAGGAAAATCCTATATGAGAGTGGAAATAGAAAAGGATAATAATGAACATGGCAAGTAAATATCATAGTCTTGCATATCGAGTTTTCCTAAGAATAACCTAATCTACTACAAACATGCTTATTTTCGCATTTAATCATCCACATAAGTATGCAAATGGATTAAACAAGTGAGTAAAATTGAAAAAGATTACGTAAGGAGCGTTAAAAAAAATAGAATTTGACTAAACAGGTTCAAAGTCTCGAGTTTTGCAGCCACTACAAGAAAACATTGTTGTTTTTCTTAGAATTTTTTTGATGATTTCTGACCGATTTAGACGGTTTGACATGATAATTACGATGAATACGGTGAGTCTGAGGAGCTCAAGGTAATCTTTAGAATGCTCTTATTAATGTTTGTTTATCATCATTTAAGAAAATTATGTCATAACAAAACTAATAATTTTAAAGTTCATAACACCAAGTTGTGAATACAAGAATCAAGGTATTTTTTTGTCTATTTAACATTGACGATTGAGCGGTATCTGATTATTAAGTACATAGATAAAAGTCAATTTGTTGACAAAAAAAAAAGGAGATAAAAGTCAATTTGAAGTATCTGATTATTGGCTAATATGTCGACATACATTCAAGTCTGACAAGTCTGACAACATATGGACATTTTAAGAGGCCAATTAATTTCTTCACATAGAATATGTTTTGGTTTACATTAAACAAATGATCACTTTACACTTCATTAAACAAATGATCACTTTACACTTTCTTAATATATAAACATATGAGTTGTGTTAAAGAAAAAAAAATAGACTACACATTCACATTGACATATTTATACGCATAATATTAGAAACCAAATTAATTAAAAGACGTGAGGACAAGATAGATCATGGGAGCAATTAAGTGCAAACAAATCACAACTCAAATAATTATATATAGAAATGATATGGTTGTACGTCTGACTCTATCAATTGGTATTAGAGTCAAATTTTTGTAGGATTTTACTTAAATTTCGATGCAGTTTAACCTCGACGGAGAACAAATCAATAGATGTTTGGTTTTGAGATGAATCATAACATGTGATGTGCCTGTCCACATGCCTACAAAAGTGTGTTTGTTCGAAGAAAGTAAAACTGAAGAGAAATTCACATGCACACACAATTCAATGATGTTGTATTTATTGATATATAAAGTCGATTCACATTTGAATATAAATTTGTTTACGTGAAATATACCATTACAATTTTCTTCTACAATCCCAAAAAGGAAAAAAATATACCTAACAAGTATTTTGGATACTCGCAAATATCTCTATAGAAACGCAGATTGTTCAAAGAAAATCAGTTTGAAGATGCATGGATAAAATTTCTTGGCAGGCAAGCAAGACCTTGTGCAGTTAGTTCAAAGTATTAGCGTTTGTTATAAATAAGTTGCTTAGATTTAAAATTTCTGCAGTTTTTATTACTTAATAAAATAGCGCAGAATTTTTTGTAATTCAATTATAATTAAATCTCTATAAATTAATACCTGATAAATTCATAATTTTTTTTGGTTCTGAATTAGATCAGTGTAAAATATATTAATTTGATAAGATAATAAGATAATATTTTTTTTAAAATCTCATATAAATATATAACCCCAACAAACTTATAAATTTATAATTACATATATATATATATATTTATAAGTAAGATACTATATAGTAAAATATAACTAATATATTCTTTGTTTTTACTTAAAGATGAGATTTCTCTTTTATTTATTTCAATCAACAGATTTTCATATTTTTGCTATCTACATTCAAAATTTGTGAAAATATTTTAGATGACTGATTTTTTATACTAGATGTTTCCAAATGTATTGTGCTATTGTTTTCAATTTTTTATCATCAACATTAACGATATTAGCTATAACTATTTTATAATTTTTGTAGTTTGTATATAAACTCAATTATATTTTTCACATATATTCGTTAAGCTTGATCAGTACCGGTTTTATAAACGGCATGATCATTGGCATACCCAACTATGAAAGGTCTATATATTTATTGTTGCCAAAGCATGCAACTCCTCCAAAATATTGTGTGTTTATCTTTTTTTTTTGGACTTTGACGGTGCATATATTTTTGGTGTACATAAAATCTACTTAAAACAATAACATTTTTTGTGTAAGTAATGTATTAGTAGAAACACATGCATGAGCATGAGTCTCATCTGTCTCTTGTATGTGGATTTACATATCACTCACATTTTAAAGTAATTAACATGAGACAAGATGATATGATACATCATACAATATATGCATAACGGATCAGAACACGAATAGTTCATACTGTTTTTAATAAATTTTCTCACTAGCAAATAGTAAAAAATGGTTATATTATATAAAGGAAACAAGATGCTATGATACATCATACAAGATGTCTATATTCTTAGTTTGTACGATTCTATTCATCTTTCTGAAAAGGTGTTTCCAGCTATTCGCACCACAAAAAAAAAAGGTTTCCAAACTGACATTTTCCAAATCTAAAAAGACACTTGCTAGCAAATTGTCGAGGATTCGACAAAACAAAAAAAAAGATTGTTTGAGGAAGCATAATTTTTCAAAATAAATAAATAAAGAAAAGTTATTAAAAGATATAAAATCCATGTGAGGATAAAAAAATTAATATATAATTTGATGACTAATTCAAGACCCTTTTCTCTGTTACTCTGATAACGAAGGAAAATTCGTGCGTGAGAAAGAGAGTAGTAAATAAAAAGAGTGATCTCTCAACGATAATCATGAGTCATGAGGAAGTTACCTTATTTTATAGTGATAATAATTTAAGAAACTCCATAAGATTCTTCTGTGGTTATTAGATTGTCTCTGAAATGAGGAGCACGAACGTGGCTGCTCTTTGTGAGAATAGAAGATTCCATTCTCTTATTCGGCTTCAAGAATGTCAAATTGAGAGAGAGAGAAAGAAAGCTTTCTTCTTCTGCCATAATTCATCTCTTTAGGTTTGAGCTTAAAGTTACATCTTTTATTTATCAGGTTGGTCAGATTTCGTGATTTTCATTTGTTATCAGATATTTTGATCATGCGTGGCTTGATGAGTTTCATGTTTCCACGCTTTTGTGATGATAAAGTTCAAAATTTATTGGCTCAAAATTTCATAAAACCTGTATTCGGAAAATGATTCAGAGTTGATAATATATAGACTTGCAAAATTCCTCTGTCTATCTAGATTGACTTTGTAATGTGGCCTTATAATGTCTAGATTTTGACTTTTGAGAGCTTAAAGCATCTCTTGATCGATGCACTCTCTTGTTGGAATCAAGATCTTGTCCAATGCTTACATTCTTTATGAATCAATTTGTCTACTCTTCATCGGTTATCTAGTTTTGGTTTGGCTCAAGGATCTTGATTTCAATTGTGATATTGTGCATGACTTATCTCCAAAATTGTTTTGATACACAGATTGCTAGTATCTCAATTTCTTGGAGGAAAGATAGGCTACGAGTAGAACCGTTGCAGAGCTGGCCCTGACATTTTGAGAGGCTCCAAGTAGCATACATTTATCAGAAATCAGAATAAATGGATTATTTTTTCAGAAAAACATCTACGGACCACAAGCCAGTGCTTGACCAGCTTCCTGTGAGGACCGTCTCAGATCTTGTGTCTACTTCTCAATCGGTGACCATTGCGGTAGCTATTAGTGGAAGCAACAAAAGCAAGAATGTAGTTAGGTGGGCTCTCAAGAAGTTTGGCTCTGACAAAAATGTTGTTTTCAAGCTGATTCACATCCATCCAAAGATTATGTCTCTTCCTACACCTAGTAAGTTCCAAAAGATTTCTTCTCTACCTGAGACTTTATGTTAACTACTTAAGAGCTTGATACTCGGTTTATGTTACCTTCCTAAGCTGGAAACATAGTCTCTATCTCCGAGGCACCAGAGGATGTGGCAGCTACTTATAGACGACAAGTGATGGAGGAGACGAAAGAAACTCTTCTTAAACCATTCAGGAAGATGTGTGAGCGGAAAAAGGTTTCTTTATTTTTTCTTTATTTTCTTGGTCTTACTTTGTAATATATCTTATAGCTAAAGATTAATGAAACTCGTTTTGAATCTTTCTTAACAAAGGTTCCAGTGCAACTTCAAGTGCTCGAATCAAATAGTGTTGCAGTGGCAATAACAAGAGAGGTTAATCAGCATTTGATCAACAGGCTTGTCATTGGACGCTCATCTCATGTTGGCTTGTACGGGTACGGCTTGAAAACATTATTTTTGTTGACTTGATTATCTGATTGCACAGAGTTCTCTCCATGAACATATATGTGTTGACACAATTCCAGGAATCAGGATATTACCGCAAAGATATCAGCCTATGTGTCAAACCTTTGCACAGTCTATGTTGTCTCAAAAGGAGTCTATATTCTTTCAAAAGACAGATCAACTTCAGATGCGGAGATGAATGAAAATATAAGAGAGTCTGGCAGTGAGAGAACTGATTCCTCTAGCTGTTCTTCTGGTTCAGGACCTATGTCAGGTTTGCAGCTTCTTTAAGTAGAAACTGATGTGTATGTATGATTCATGAGTCTAATTTTTCTTTTGTATATTTTTTAGATGCAATGTCGAATGCACTCAAATCCAAATCTCTTGCTCAGTCAAGTAAGAGATTGCAACATCTCCCGACAATAGTAAGAGGGGTTTCTGTTCGTATGGAAAGTAGTTCTGTTGACTCAGATGACACTAGAAGTATGTCTTCAGATGCTGCAGAGGAAGTTAGCAAGAGAAGTAGCCCTGAGACATCACGTAACGTTTCTTGGAATCCACGGTTTAGAGATTTTGATGAGAGAAAAGACGGTATGAGTTCTTTGTCTGGGAACGTTGAATACGGGAATGTTACTCATCAAGGTGATGATTATCTCACAGACGACCAGGTAAGTTAAGTTTATGATAAGATTGTTCTTAAAACCTCTTGTGTTGAAATCGAAAAGCATTAGAAATGAGAAGTGTTTTTCATTGGTTGCAGGACACGCTCGAAGAGATTACAAAGTTGAGAGATGAACTTAGACATGCTCAAGAAATGTATGCAGCTGCTCAAGTAGAAACCTTGGATGCTTCTCGCAAGGTCTGCTTAAATAATATCTAGTAAAACTGGATACCTTTGTATTTGGTGAAGCTTCTTAGCTATTGGTTTTTTTATCTAACGAATCTGCATCCTTTATGGTTTCAGCTAAATGAGCTTAAGTTTGAAGAGCTAACGCTAAAGGAGCAAGAAACAAAGGGGTTAGCAGAAAAGGAAACACAGAAATTTGAGCAGAAGAGAAGGGCGGCAGAGAAAGAAGCTGCACAAAGAAGAGAAGCAGAGATGAAATCAACCCGTGAAGCCAAAGAGAAGGAGAAGCTTAAAGAAAGTTCCCTTGTGGCTCCTAAGTTGCAATACCAAGAGTTCACTTGGGAAGAAATCACTACTGCAACTTCATCTTTCTCTGAAGATCTAAAGATTGGAATAGGAGCTTACGGTGCTGTTTTCAAATGCAATCTGCACCACACAATCGCTGCTGTCAAAGTTCTGCATTCAGCTGAAAGTAACCTATCCAAGCAATTCGATCAAGAGGTACACAAAACCCAAAAGTTTTTCTTGTTTGAAAGTTTTCTTTTATTGACATTTCTTGCTCTCTCTTAGCTCGAAATCCTGAGCAAGATCAGGCACCCACACTTAGTTCTTCTTCTAGGAGCATGCCCTGAGCACGGTGCTCTAGTCTACGAGTACATGGAAAACGGTAGCTTGGAAGATAGACTGTTCCAAGTCAACAATAGCCAACCAATACCATGGTTCGTCCGGTTCAGAATCGCTTGGGAAGTCGCATCAGCTCTAGTCTTCCTCCACAAATCAAAACCAACACCAATCATCCACCGTGATCTTAAACCGGCTAACATCTTACTTGATCACAACTTTGTCAGCAAAGTAGGAGACGTAGGTCTCTCCACTATGATCCAAGTCGACCCATTATCAACCAAATTCACAATGTACAAACAAACAAGCCCCGTTGGAACGTTATGCTATATCGATCCTGAATATCAACGAACCGGAATGTTATCTCCCAAATCAGACGTCTATGCTTTTGGTATGATCATTCTGCAGCTTCTTACCGCTCAGCCGGCAATAGCATTGACGTATACAGTCGAAATAGCTATGGAGAACAACGACGACGAGGAGTTAATACAGATTCTTGATAAGAAAGCAGGTGATTGGCCAATCGAAGAAACTAGGCAATTAGCAGCTTTAGCACTATACTGTACAGAGCTCCGTGCTAAAGACAGGCCTGATCTGGAGAATCAGATTCTTCCAACGTTGGAGATCTTGAAGAAAGTAGCTGATAAAGCAAGAAACTCGCTTTCTGATTCGGCCAAGCAACCTCCAAGCCATTTCATCTGCCCATTACTTAAGGTAAACAATAACTTGTTCGTTACTTTATCTGTTTGCTTGCGAGAGAAGTCAGGTTAGGTTTAGAGAATAATGTTGTTGTTATGGTATGTTTGAAGGATGTGATGAAGGAGCCATGCGTTGCGGCTGATGGGTACACTTATGACCGGCGATCCATAGAAGAGTGGATGGAGAATCACCGGACTTCGCCGGTGACTGATTTGCCGTTACAAAATATGAACCTTTTGCCTAATCACACTCTTTATGCAGCCATCGTCGAATGGAGACGTAAGAATCAGTAAGGCAAAAAAAAAAAACCGTGCTCCATTTTGGTTCCTGTTCTTGAAACTGCATAACGTGTTTAGCCAATTTAAATGACGAGATGTCCTTTTTAGCGCTCATCTCTATACTATTATTTGCGAGGTCAAAAATCTTAGGTGTCGTTTTCATAATGATTGTTCTACATGTCATTAATAAAAAAATATTATATGGTGTTTTAATTAGTTCTCATTGGTCGATCATTAATCCTACGTTACATGTTAATACCTGTGACATGGATTTATTCGCTCTAAATAGGTCGCATAAGCCCGAATGATCTGCTATGGGCCAGCGATTTCGAAAATCTTTCCCAAGTTGGTGTTAACTAAAAACCTAATGTGTAGATAAGGACCCATATATAGAGGTTTATAGTTTATTATTTTATAGCCGGTGAAAAAAAACAATAACTAAAAATCTCTTTTATATAGAAATGGAAAATTAGATTTTTTTTTTGTTTTTTAAAATTAGTAATTCATTGTTTAATCTTATTCATCTAAATATGAAAACAAAAATAAATTTATTTGTGGAAGCCCCTTCCAGTGGTCGACTAAAGGTTCAGTAATGCTTTCACACCAAAAGTCTGGGTTTCAATTCCCGGAAGATGCGATTTCTGCAGGTTATGAATGAAGACAAGTTTATAAAAAAATTTCAGTGTGGTGCTAGAAGAACCGTTCGTTGTGGTCCCAGCCTACGTGGATTCAAGTGGAGCGGATAGATTATCAGTTGGAAAATTGTTCCTGTAATAATTCTTCTAATATAATCAAAAAGATTTCAGACAATAAAAAAAAATTATTTCATTTTCTTATTAACTTTATATTTTAAAATAAAATTTAAGTTTTCTATTTTTATTTTTATTTAATAGCATTACTTTTTATTATTAAGATTAGAAATAGGTCATAGTTTTTTCTTATTAACTTTGGCTTTTGTTGTAATTGTATTTTCTATTTTCTGTATATATTTGATAACTATACTTTTAAGGATTAGAAACCGATTAAAATTTTTTCCATTTATTGTTAATATTACATATCGGAATCTAATTGAAAATTTATTAAACATGTGCCAAAATCTAATCGTTTATCTTGACACGTGTCACGATCTCGCAAAGTACTAACTTTGAAACACTCTACTTTATATATATATATATAGATCTTTATTTTGTTAGATATAACATATTTTTTTAGGTCTAGCGCTTTTACCCCTTTTTGTTTGTTCATCAATTAATTATTCTATAAATATTTTGCATATGATTGTTTTCGTACGTTTTGTTTTGTTTATGCTTGATACATTATTTCATCGTGTGGACGTTTTTGTGTCACGTTGTTTGGACGATCTATAGTGTCTAAAAACGTCATGCTCTTTTGTTTTTTTTAGAACGGCACATGTTAGTTTCTAAAGTTCTTTTGATCCCAATTCATATATTTTGTTTCGTCAGCTTCATTTATTGTTTCGTTTGTTTGATCGATACACCACTTTGTCATGTTGACGTTTTGTATCTCGCCAGGTGTGGCTCATAAACAAACGATCTAATGTGTATTTAGACATGTTGGGGTTCTTTTGTTTAGTTTTTTTTAAAAAAAAAACGTAATTACTACATAAATTCCTTTTGTTATGTACCCAGTTCGTATATTTTGTTTCTGATTTGTATATTTTATAATGATTCGTTTCACCTCTCTGTATTGATGATTTCTTGTATTTTTTTATTTCGCTCGAAATTTATTCGAACTAACATGTTTTACAATTGGTGTGGGTCTTTGAGTTGATTAAATGAGTAAAAAGAAAGGTAATTATTTAGGTTCGTGGAGTTTGTCTAATTCATCGTGTTGTTTTCCGGGTTTAATCATCGTATTGCAGGTGAAAGGTTTTGCAGGTCAAGCCAAGGCATGGAGCCAACGCTTCTTTATACAAACTTTCATGTTCCACATGCATGAGCCAATACCTCTTTATACAAACTTTCATGTTCCACATCAATCTTCATTCAGTAAAAGTGTATTATCTTAAGAGTCTTATATTGATTAAGCCTCAGGCAAAGGAAAGAGAGAGAGAAATTCTTAGGCTATGGCAGTCCAATTAGATTATTGCTGAAGATTATACCAGAGGAGTTGATTGATGGCACTTGTACAACCAAAGCAAGAGCAAACAATGCACCAAAAATTGATTTCGAGATCGGTTACTCTCGCAATGGCCACACCTAGGGATACTATTGCTAATGCCACAACCTGTGAAAGAACAAACTCTAAAGCAGGGTTAGAACAAAAAAACATGTCATGAGAGTTCTTAATTGACCAGGTGAAATCTCACAATAAACTAGCAAGACCTTTGTGGAAAAAATGGGTTCTTTTTTGAAGAAAACAAACTCTGCAAGGGTAATCGTTAGTGTCACCATGATCTTAGCCATTTGATAGAATCCAATTGTACAAAAACAAAAGCTTTCAAGTATGAGATAAGAAGATAAAACAGAGCGCAATCTCTTTATCTCTTCAGTGTCTGAACTCCGATCTACATAGTTTGATTAGTGCTATCAAAGGTCAATTTACAGCTTAAGCTATAATTCTTGATGCAATCATTACAGATTGAGTTATGAACCTGTTGTTTTTGAGGCTGGTACTAGCGAGACCAGAAGCAAATTACAAGACAGATCCAAAAGAGAAGAGAGAGGCGAACAATATTGTCTTTGATGTAGGAGACATATTGGAAGTAATTAGAGAGACCTTAAGAAAGCTAGAAGTATCCAAGCTACCAAAAGGATTGTTTACCTACGTACTGATACCATGGTTCCGCGACCACGCTCTTGAAAAAGAAAAGAACCAAGAAAACAAAGTGACAAAAGCTAGGAAATGGATTGTTTATCTACACTCTGATACAATAGTTTTGCGCCCGTGCTTGCCAGAGTTAAAGCCTTCAGGATCACGAAATTGATCAGCATGTATCACTATTTGAGAGAGATTTAAAGCCTTCAAGAACATGTAATTGATCAATATTTAATCACTGTTAGTTTGTTCATTATGTGTTTTTGATATCTGATTAATATGGTTGACAAAAAATTTGAAGTCTACCAAAGTGGTTGTTTACCAATGCACTGATACCATCATGCCCACGCTTATGAGAGAGAAAATTACCTACAACATATTAATGATAAGGAACTTTGGAAAGAAGTAGAAAATAAAGAAAGCTAATACAAATCAAAAAAGAAGAAGAAGAATAATTGAGAGAATACAAAGACGATGAAAAAAAAATCAAAGACGATGATGAAAATGAAAGAAAATGGTGAGGAATAAGAAAATCAAAAGATATATAAGAGAAAGAAGAAAAAAAAGTACAAGTCAAAGACGATGAAGAAGAAGAAGGAAAATATGAGGAAGAAGAAGTTGAAGAGTTTGGGGCAGAAAAAAAAGACAAAGGACATAAAATTGGAGAATGAACAAGAAGACGAATAAAAACCAGAAAAATAATAAGGAAAATATAAGGAAGAACTAAATCATAAGATTAAGGGTAAGAAGAAGAGTTGAACAAAACAGAAGAGGAAGAAGAAGAAGACAAATCTGAAGAGGAAAATGAAATAGAAGTTGAACACGATAAAGAAGAAGAAAGAAAAGATAAGGAACAAAAAGATTGAAGTTAATGATAAAAAGACGGAAAAGACGAAGAAGCCCAAGCCAAAAAATGAAAAAAACCCCTCCCCCGAAAAATTATGACAAGACGAAAATGTTGAAGAATAAGAAAGGTAAGAGATTATGAATTAGGAGAAAGAGGGAAAGAGAGAAATTGAGTTTATGCTTTCAGGGAAATGTAGATGCTTTTAAGGACATGTAGATGGAGAGAGAAAGAGAGTGTGTGAGAGAAATAGAGAGAAAGAGAAAGGGGAGAGAGACTTAAATCTTTCAGGTACGTGATATTAAATATATGTTAATTGGTCTTTTTGTGTTCATATTTTTTAATATACGAAACACTTTTTACTTTAAATGTCGTTGTACAAATCCTATGTTATATACAATCTAGGACAAGACCGGAAGGACGATAGTGAGAGAGAAATATTAAAGAGGGAGAGGGAGAGAGAAAGAATGATAGGGAGAGACGCTTTGATGGGGCTAGAGCGAGAGATTTAAAGTTTTGAGGTATATGTATTTTATTAATAT